TCATTAAATCACCCATAAAACCTCCTATGCACTTATGTAAGAGTGGGGCTCAGTCACAGGATACCAACAATTATAAAATACATTTAGGCTTATTAGTTAAAATATCATTACCACATGGCAACCAGAGGCACAGTTTCATTTGGGAAGTTAGTTTTAACATTTTATAATAATTATTAATTATTAATAATTAATAATAATTAATAATTCAGCAATTGTATTATTTCAACATTTGTAATAATAAATATGACTTCATGAATGTTGCTATATTATTTAAAATTTGCATACTAAAAATAATCTTAGACATGGTATTCTTATTATATATTCTTTCTAAGTACATATATGTGGGTTTTAAATATACAGGAAAGGAAGATGTTAAAGGTTACACACTGAACTAAAAGCAATGGTTACGGCAAAGAAGACTACCAATGTATAAGGGGGGGTCCAGAGAAACTAATTATTTAATGGTTTATTCTGAAATAGTTTCAAACTTTGGGAAAGTTGCAAGAACAATGCAAAAAAATCCCATATCCCCCATTCCTACATCCCCCAACTGTTAACATTTCCCTGCATTTGTTTCATATCTATCTGATCAACTATCCTATCAGCTTTATTCTCTTCCTGAGTATATTAGGTAGAGCTGCAAACGTCATACACCACATTTCCTAAGACCCCACTAGGCATGCTCCTAAAACAAAGACACTTTCTTACAGAACTACCAACTAAATAAGCAAGTCAGAAAATCAACCTTGACAGAACACCATTGTCAAATCCACAAACCCCATTCCAATCTCAACAACTGTCTCAACAAAGTCTTTCCTTTCTAGTCCTGGATCCCAGCAGTCTGGATCTGTCCTGTTGTTTCTTCATTACCAGACTTAGGTCATGCTTTCTTGATAGTCACCACAGAAAAGATGGATCAGTCAGTACCATGTCAGGGGCCACACAGTGCTGATGACCATGGTGTCATTAGCCTGGATCATCTTGTCATTCTGGTATCTGCCAGGATTCCCTGCCATTATAGCACTATTAAGCCCTTTGAAATTGGTAATTGTGGATATATATATATTCTGAGATTATGCCAATAATCCGTTCCTCATCCACTCACCAATCTAAGTATCTATTAATAATCTCATCTGAATCAATCACTATGATGGTTACCAAATACTGGTTTTCCATTTCCATTATTCCTCATACATTTACTAGTAAGGAAGAGATTTCCCTTCTCCCCACTTATTTCTATATCAATATGGATTCATAGCTTTCTGTTTTATAATGCAGGTTATATTCCAAAGTTACTATTCATTTTTATGATCAAGTTGTTCCATATTTGGCCAATAGAAGCATCTTCAAGATGGGTTTTATGTACTTTTGCTATGCCCCCCCATTATTCCTTGAGCCATTCCTTGCCTTCTCTCACAGGAAGATGTTTTAGGCTCATCTGCTTTTCCAAGTCCAGACCTACCAAGGGGTTCTGCTTCCTTCAAGTGGAAAATAGTATCTAGAAACCAAACTCTAGAAGCCAGGATGGAGTTGCTCCTAAGCAATCTCAGCATAAAGAGCTAGGAAATCTGTGTAAGGACGACATTCACACACACACACACACACACACACACACACACACACACACACGTATACCTGCATGTACATGTGCATGTGTCTACACACATATGTACACACACACCCATAAATGTATCTATCAGTGCATGTATATTTAAAAAATGATCAGTTCCTACCAATACCTCCAATTCTAATTCAACAACTCGGAGATCTGTTCAGTCTTCTGCCTTTCTATATTTATAAATATTTTCAACAGGAAGAAACTTGGCTCCTATTTTCAATACATTCATCTTCCCCTCAATGTGATCCATCTCCAACCATGCCAGCAATTTCCTCTATCTATAATCTCCTTAGCTGCCAACTCCCAGTGTCCCATGTATCTGTGATAGGAACAGTAGAATTACTCTGCTTCTCTGTGTGGACATTCTCTCTTGAGAGACCTCAAGAGAGAAGGTCTTGACCTCACTGACCTCCAATGGGACTGCTGTCCCTGTGCTGGGAAGGGAAGAGAAAAGAAAGGAATAGATGTAATTTTAAAAAAGAACCCATTCCAGTACTATCTGTAAAACAGAAATAATAAAAATGAAGAAATAACACTATAGATTGAATGTTTATGTCCCATATCAGCTGTTCCCTCCAAAACAAATCATGTGGCAAAACTAATTCCAATGTATTACTATTTGGAGGTGGGGCCTTTAGGGGATGATTAGGTCATGAGAGTAGAACCCTCAACGAATGGGATAAGTGTCCTTATATAAGAAACCCCAGGGGACCTGGGTAGCTCAGTGGATTAAAGCCTCTGCCTTCAGCTCAGGTCATGATCCCAGGATCCTGGGATTGAGCCCCACATTGGGCTCTCTGCTCAGCTAGGAGCCTGCTTCCTCCTCTATCTTCCTGCCTCTCTGCCTACTTGTGATTGCTGTCAAATAAATAAATAAAATCTTAAAAAAAAAAAACAAAAACACCCGAGAGATCCCTTACCATGTCTGCCTTGTGAGGACACAGAGACAAAAGGGGCTTCTATGAACCAGGAAGTAGGCCCTCAGCAGACACAAATTCTGCCAGTGCCATGATCTTAGACTTCCCAGCATCCAGAAGTGGGAGAAATAAATATCTGTTGCTTATAAACCACCTAGTCTACGGGCTTCGTCATAGCAGCCTGAAAGAACTAAGATGTACAATTATACAACATGGGTCTAGAGTTTTGGGTCACCTTAAGGATTCTAGGAGGTTCCCACCCTTAGCTCCTACATTCCACAGGCTGCTGACAATGGTTTCTCCTCCCTGATTCACATTCTCATCGTCATTACTACAGCCATTCATTCACTGGCTCAGTATGAGTTAAATTTGACAATTTCTAGCTCAAGACCTGACACGAAGTAAGTGTTCAGTAACATACGTTTAGTCACTATACAGAGGGCCCAGAGAGGGACAGTTACCTTAGATAACCCAGCCACTCCCTTCATCCACATAGGACATTCACAATGCCTCTTCCTCCCAATAAAATGGCTGGTGCCAGACCAGGAACAAAATGCCTGAGCCCAGAGACCACCAACTCAGGAGTAAACATGGGTACCAGTCACAGCTGCCAATGCCCTCCAATTTCCTTTACTTTTTTTTTTTAAGATTTTATTTATTTATTTGACAGAGATCACAAGTAGGCAGAGAGGCAGGCAGAGAGAGAGAGAGAGAGAGAGAGAGAGGAGGAAGCAGGCTCCCCACCGAGCAGAGAGCCCGATGTGGGGCTCGATCCCAGGACCCTGGGATCATGACCTGAGCTGAAGGCAGAGGCTTTAACCCACTGAGCCACCCAGGTACCCCTCCCTTTACTTTTTTAAAAAAGTGACTCAAAGGGGCACCTTTTGGTGGGCTTCCCATCAGCATCCTGAGCCGTCAGCACCTTAGCAATACTGTGTCATGCCAGTCAGAGTCTTCTGAGAGCAGCAGCTAAATTCAGTTTGTGGTTTTGGTAACACGTGGATACTGGCGGCGACATCATGCCCCATCAGAGAAACCGGTGCCAGGCAGCCAGCACTCTCTCCTCGGCCAGTATGGGCCCTAATCCCGTGAGGCCCCTGCTCTGGGCTCGGACCCCCACATCAGTGGAACAGGTTCCTTTCAGAGGCCTGCACTTCAGCTCTGAGGGATCCTCCTGTTCCATCTGACCAGTCTCGAGCTGGTAGCTGCTGCCTGCAGTTGCTACTTTAGTGATACACTTGACCTTCATTCTTCCCTTTCAGATTCCTGCCATCTTCATGATACTCAGTGTTCCCTTTTTACCCTTTCAGATCCCTAGTTAACAACTGTACATCAAGTTAACAATGCTCTATATCATATTTTGTTCAAATCACTGCTATGGTTTCTGTCTTCTGACAACCCTGATAGGTCTCACTGGAACTGAATCTCAGGAAGAGGAGAACTTTTATTCACTGCTGTACAATGCCCTCCACTTAGTATGTGACTAATAAATACTGATCGAATCAACAAATGTTTGTATTTACAGTCACTAAAACCTTTTTCTCACTGTGGGTTGAGGATTCAGCTCTACTCTGTATGAAATACTCAACGTCCAAAATAGTATTGTTCATAATCATGAAAAATTAGAAACAAGAGGCCTTTCAACAGAATTTAAGATATTTTGATAGAACGGAATATAAGATGCTAAAAAGTAGCCAGAGCTACGTATATAAACATGGATGTAAAACCATTTTGTTGGTTTTTTTTTTTTTAAGATTTCATTTATTTATTTGACAGACAGATCACAAGTAGGCAGAGGCAGGCAGAGAGAGAGGAGAAAGCAGGCTCCCTGCGGAGCACAGAGCCCGATGTGGGGCTCGATCCCAGGACCCTGGGATCATGACCTGACCTGAGCGAAGGCAGAGGCTTTAACCCACTGAGCCACCCAGGCACCCATATTTTGCTGGTTTTAATAAAGGAATAGTGCTCAGGATAAGGCACAAAGTGTGACATGACAAAATGTTACTAGAACCACTGAAATTCACAATGAGTTTATACACAGCGGCAAAAAGCAGAGAGTGAGGAACAGTGAAATCATCAGTGTGGGGTAGTAGGGTGGTGTCCTATGGTTGGCCCATCCACATTGTGTACTACCAGTAGAATAATGGGGACAGGAACACAGGGCCTAGAAATGTAACAGCCACACCAAAGGATACATCTGTATACAATAAAAATGTGGTTTCAAATCGGTGAAATAGGGGTGAATGAATCAAAAGGTGAAAGATCAATTGGCTATTCATTTGGAAAAAAACGAAGTTGGGGTTTTTCGTTTACACCATATTTAATCGACAACAGAAAGAGATCAGTAGATTATTCCATTTATTTTAAACATATTTGTTTTGTATGTTTTAAGGACAAACCTGACAAAACAGAAGGTTTTAATAAGAATCTTCTCGTACCAACTCAAGAAGCAGAAACACATTTCATACTGCAGGATGACAGACCATTTTATTTCTAATGTTCAAGTTCTAAACATAAATGCCTTTAGCTCTAATAACAGAAAACTCTGACCCTAACCGTTCAGTATCTGTGAGGTAGATATTATCTCCATTTTGCTGATGAGGAAATTGAGACAGAGATTAAATCACTACATAGGTCACTCAAATAATAAGTGACACACAGAATGGCTTGTCTGAAAAGACCATGTATAACTGTAGGAGGAAATATGTGGCATTCTACTACACTAAATACAAATGCAGATAGTTCTTTGCTCACATAAAATTTGAACTTCACTTTTAAAACTTATATAAGTATTCTTTGGACATAACACAAATATAAAGTGGGGAAAATTTCTTCAGTGGGCACTGCTTTTAATCTGTACCTAACGTTCAAGACCAATGTTGAAAATTGATTCAGGTGTGTATTTTAAATGTGTACTGAATCACTGTATACATCAAGTAAATCTTGATTTTATTAGTCATTATTTGGCTTATTTACTAAAAGAACGGTTTGTTAACAATGCCTGCACTGATTTACATGTGCCACCAGAAAGCAGAAAATATACACGACATGTAGTATTTCACGCATTCCACGTTTCTTTAAAAAATACATATTGTGGTATAAGTATGCGGTGGGACAATACCAGTTGGTGTCAGAAAACATAGTGTATGTCACAAAAATTATTTAGGTAAGAGTGCATTGTTCCTACTATAACTATTTTGGAACCTAAAACAAAAATCAAGAATAGAATGTAGCCGTTGAAGGGCACACTCATATGTTTAAGCCTGATTAAGCTCAGAGGCTTATTATTCACCTAAACACATAATGCTGTTACTTTATTCACAGAGACACTTAGTGGTGTTACTTTGTTTACATATATTATTCACATATATACTTAGTGCTATTACTTTATTCATATATACACTTAGTGCTGATGTTTACAAAGTGCAGCTATTTTATTCACATACACACTTAGTGCTGTTACTTTGATGTCTCAACTCACCTGTGCAGTCTCAAAGCCACATGTTGCTCATTGTGGTCAAATAAATATCCCATGGTAGATTATTAATAAGATTATTTAGTATTGCATCCAAAACATTGCTTCTAGAACAAGATTATTTCTAGACAAGGATGTTTTCCTCACTTCCTAAACTGACAATTTTCCTTTGTTATGCATTCTCTGATAAATAAATTTTGAAGTGCTTTTCAAGTTATTAGCTTCTATTCTCCATTATATGATGGCCAATCAGAAGCAGATTGTGAAAATTCTCCTACATTCATTTCATTTTAGGGTGTCTCAATTTGTAAATTTCTGATTTACAAAATGCTTGACTTGTTCATCAAAGTTTATTAAGATGCAGAATACTGAGAGCAATTTCCCCCCTAATGAATTCTCTGACATACAGTGTTTCTCATGCCTTCATTAGATTCACAGGGTATATGAAATAAGGGATGGCTAGGATATACTATGACAACAAAAAGCCCTAAACGTGTAATGTCTGAACAAATCTGAAATTTATTTCTGGTTCATGACAAGACTTACAAGGGATGTTAGAGAAGGCAGAACTCTGCCCAGGACCCTGGTTTCTTCAAACCTGTGAATCTATAATCTCTAATGACTAGCTCCCAAGTACCCTGAGGATGATCCCCATACCCTTTGATATGGAAAGAAAAATGGAAGTAGGAAAAATTTCAAACAGGCTTGGAATTTATGCCAGAGGTCACATGGCCTCATGTGAATGGAAAGCCACAAAATCTTGACTAGTAGGTAACCACAAAGAAAAATGGGTATGAGGAAAAACCCAGCAAGTTTCTGCTACAGAGTTTCTACCCTAGGTGAATTCCTTGATGATTAGTAAGGGCTGATTTCCGGCCAAAAGTTTTTCCACATTCACAGCATTTATAAGGTTTCTCTCCTGAGTGAATTCTCAGATGGGTAGTGAGGGTAGATTTATGACGAAAACTCTTCCCACACTCATTACATTCAAAGGGTTTTTCTCCTGTGTGAGTTCTCTGATGATTAATAAGAGTCGACTTTGTAAGAAAAGATTTCTCACATTCATGACACTGAAAGGGCTTCTCTCCTGTGTGAGTTCTCTGATGTACATTAATGGCTGACAGATGACAGTAAGTTTTACCACATACATTACATCGAAAGGGTCTATCTCCTGTGTGAGTTCTCTGATGTTGAGTGAGGGCTGACTTCTGGCAGAAGGTTCTCCTACATTCATTACATTCATAGGGCTTTTCCCCTGTGTGAGTTCTCTCATGTCGAGTGAGGGATGATTTCTCATAAAAGGATTTCCCACATTCATTACATTTATAAGGTTTCTCTCCTGTGTGAATTCTCTGATGTGCGTTAACATCTGACTGCCGATAAAAAGTTTTACCACACTCATTACATTGAAAGGGCTTCTCTCCTGTGTGAGTTCTCTGATGAACATTAACTTCTGACTGCCGATAGAAAGTTTTACCACATTCATTACATCGAAAGCGTTTCTCTCCTGTGTGAGTTCTCTGATGCACATTAACGTCTGACTGCCGATAGAAAGTTTTACCACATTCATTACATTGAAAGGGTTTCTGTCCCGTGTGAATCCTCTGATGTGCATTAACGTCTGACTGACGATAAAAAGTTTTACCACATTCCTTACATTGAAAGCGTTTCTCTCCTGTATGAGTTCTCTGATGAACGTTAACATCCGACTGCCGATGGAAAGATTTACCACATTCATTACACCGAAAGGGTTTTTCTCCTGTGTGAGTTCTTTGATGTGCATGAACGTCTGATTGCCAATAAAAAGTCTTACCACATTCATTACATTGAAAGCGTTTCTCTCCTGTGTGAATTCTCTGATGTGCATTAACATCTGCCTGCCGATAGAAAGTTTTACCACATTTGCTACACTGAAAGGGTTTCTCTCCTGTGTGAATTCTCTGATGTAGCTTAATGTCTGACTGCCAATGGAAAGTCTTGCCACATTCATTACATTGAAAGCGTTTCTCTCCTTTGTGAATTCTCTGATGTACCTTAATGTCTGACTGGCGATGGAAGGTCTTACTGCATTCATTACATTGGAAGTGCTTCTCTCCTGTATGAATTCTCTGATGTTGAGTGAAGGCTGACTTCTTGCAGAAAGTTTTTCCACAATCATTGCATTCATGGGGTTTCCTCCCTATGTTTGTTTCCTCATGTTGAGTAAGAGATGACTTCTTGCAAAAGGACTTCCCACATTCACTATACTTATAAAGTTTCTCCCCTATATGTGCTAACTGATGGTCTGTGAGGGGTGACTTATGACTCGTTTTCCCACATGAATTAAATTCATGGGGTTTCTCTCCCATGTGTGTTTTCTGATGCACTGTGAGGTTTGACTTGTAGTTGAATGTTTTCCCACATTCACTACATTTGAATAGACCCTCACATCTCTTTTTTTTCTGAACTTGAGTAAAATGTGACATCCTGCTGAAATTATTTTCAATTTTATTGCCTTTGCATTGTTTCATTTCAAAGGAAACCCCATAACATTTCAAGAGAGATGACTTCTCACAGGTTTCTCCATGTCCATTATATTCACAGAGTTTCTCTCCTGTGTCAATTTGCCTGTGTGGAATTATTGTGGTCTTTTTTCCCAAGGATTTTCCACCATCATATTTTAAAGTCTTCTCTGAAGACTGAGTATTTACATGCTGAATAATACCATTCTTATGACCAAGGGCTTTCTCATATTGATTATTTTCATGAGAACCCTCTTGAGTATGAGGTTTTTCCTGCTTAATATCAAGTAACTGCTCATATACATTTAACATGTGAGGCTTTTTCCTTGAAAAATATCTATTACTACCAATTGATACTAAAATATTTTTCAAATTCATTCCATGTAAGTCATGTTTACAGGGTATTTTTCTTGAAGGAATAAAATCTGTACTTTTATTAGATGATTTCCTTAAAGCATAAACTTTCTTTGAGGTCACTTTTTTGTTGTTGAATAAAACGTGTGGCAAGTATTTGTCTTGGTTTTTCTGGATTCTCTCTGCTACGTAATAAGCTCTGCTGTCTTCTAGAAATGAAAATATTGAACAAACCGTAAGAATTTTACAGTTCTAATGGAACTGGATTAACATATATATTTGACTTTGGTTTCAGTAGTGTCTCAGGATCAAAGTGCCTCTTTCCCCACCTAGTTTGAGAAAACGTGGAAAAAGGAAGAAAAGCTATTAACATGCAGACATATAATTATTTAGCACTTTATAAGTAAGACATTCAAAATGGACAAAAATGTAGATTTAAATTCAAGAAGCAGTGAAGAGAGGATCAAAGATTCTACAGGAGTGACAGATCCAGGTAGGAGAAAAATCACAGGAAATAAGATGGGTCCAACTGAGCTAATGAAAAGTAATTGGAATAACAAGAAAAATGAGTAGGCAAAGATGTTCATGGAGGAAAATGTGACATTAAGGAGACAGAGTAGGTCTAATACACTCCAACCTGTATTGTTTTAGTAATATCCAAACAAGTTCTCATGCTTCCAGTTAAATTTCCCTCCCACACAACAGCAAGATAAATTTCTGAAAGCACCAAAGGCCTTATGTTCAAGGAGTCATCAGAGTGTACTCAAATTCCCTTCCCAACAGGAATGCCAATGTCCCAAAATGAAATACAAAATAATGACAAAATAAGTAACCTTGTGCCCACATAGATTCAATGTATCTCCCTATTTTGGCTTTGATACGCTCATATTGCTCTACTGTAGCCACTCAACAGGTGAACCTATGTTCACTTATTTTTCCTTAAAATAGCATTACCTATGCCAAAATACTAATATTTAATTTTCCTTTTTCTTTCACATCTCACATTTGCACATTTCAGATTTCTGCTTATTATCAAAACTTAAGGATCATATGTTTCCAAACAAATCTCAGGAAATGAGTAACATTTATATTGATTTACCATTTAAAAAATATTGTTCACATTTGCTACCCACTGCAACAAATTCTATCCCAATCTAAAAAACCTCTGGCCTGACCCAAGTACCACATGACGACTGTTACAAGTCATCATTCTAGCAAACAAAATTTACACCTACTAAATTCACGTCGCATCTTCAAGCTGCCATCCTACGACTCCTCAATCAACATCCTCTCTGCCAGTTTAGTCAGTTCTTTGTCTTATTAAATTACTCATTCTTGACTATAAAGTTAAAGTGTGTTCTCTCACTCAGAGCCACGGCTACGGTATAGGCTAACTACTATCTGGGAAAATGACATAATAATACCATTATTCCAACCCTTCAAGAATGCCTTTTCAAATCTTCATACTTTTAAAACTTTCAAACTTATATTTGTTCTAAATCTAAAAATAGTTCCAATGTAGATGAGCTCTTTTTAACACAGTCATAAATAGCACTGCTTTGTAATATACTGTATTTCTTCAATATACACATATTTAACATTCTAAAATCTAAAATCATCCAATATAATATACACATATTTAACTTTCTAAAATGCTTCTTATAATTGATCACAGATCTGTGCTCAGCAGGTCACACTATAATGAGCAAGGTTTACTTAGTGGTTCATCACATAATGATCTAGTTACAATCTATGGCTTCTTAGAGCTGAGAGAATGACAATTTTTTCTTAATTAAATGCTGAATTTAAAGTGTTCCATGCAATTTTATTCTCATTCTTCAGTCCAAAGGATGGCAAACTTTTCCTTAAAAGGCAAAACAGTACATTTTCTAGGTCTTGAAGGCCATACCTGTCTATCACAATATCAAACTCTGCTATTAGAGCATGAAACTGGCAAAAGCCCATATGTAAACGAAGGAGTATGGTTGTGTTGCAAAACCATTTTATTTACAAAAACATGTGGAAGGTCTGCAGACCATACTTTATAATCACTGCTCATAACAGGTGTTGTTAAGTCTGATTTTTAAAAAAATCTGAGTAATTTGAAATCAATAGACTTCAACCAGCTATGTGTATCAGCATTACCTGGAAAGATTTTTCAAACACAAATCTTTAGACACTATGCCATTTTATACCTGATGAATCAGGAACTATATGTTCATGTAAGTAATTAGAGATCCTTCACAATGTTTTCAGAATATGAAATTTTTCCTTTCCTTGATCATGTTAATCAAATGTTCATTTCAGATTATATACCAAAGTAAGAAAGAATAACACGATTGCCGTTCTCTTTGTTAGATCATACCCCAGGTGTGAAAAAAGGTATTATTAGGTAACAGATCATTTACTTTTGCTTCTTCTGAAAAACCCACTATATGCTGAGCATTGAGAGAAAGAAGACATCACACTGGCTCAAACATTCAAAGTCTCTTCCTTCTTGGAAGCAGGTACACTTAACTTTTACTATAACGACATTCAATATAATAACAGTAAAAATAGAGTTTTACTTATATACTAAACAATGTTCTGAGTAATTTTCATTTATTAATGCATTTAGTATCTAGTCAAGGAAAGCACACAGAGAAGAAAGGTGTGATATGGGAAAGCACACAAGATGCCTAAGTGACATTTAATGCGAGTGGATCAAATGATGTTTAGCATGAGTATAAGCAACCTAAAAATAAAACTGAAGCAGCCAAATAAGGTTAGAATACAGTTGTCAATAAAAGGTACATTAATTTAAATTTCATGAAATAAACAGGAGGAGCACAGATTTATTTTGTCATGCTACTGAAAAAAATAGATGTTCTAGGCAAACAAAAGCACAAAAACACCACCATCAACAACAAAAGAACTCTCACCAACTACAATTAGGAAAGGGACAAAATAAAAGTATGAGGGAATATAGTTCTTACTGATATTGACATAAAGCAAGAACATGAAAACTATTAGAAATTTATAAAGAAAAAATACTCAAAAATAAAAAAATATAAAAGAACAAGTTTGTCATGTATGTTTAATTTTTTTTTTTTTTTTTTTAATAACCTCTACTTTTATCAGACTACAACTAGGGAATGTTTTATTTCCTACTTCCTAGGATTTACTGAAGGTTTCCTTTTAGCATCATATACTTCTACTTATTTGCAAATGTTTTTTAAGCACGAAAACAGGTCTTTCCCCCATTTTCTTAAGGTACCAACAGAAGTACAACTGTAAAATTAAGGCTGTAATTTTCTTACAATAATCTGGTAAATATGAATTTGTAATCCTATTAATTTATAGGTAATTTTTAAAAATAGTACCAAGTACTACAATACAACATGTAACACTGAAACAGTGTTTCCTCCCGTCTCCTCAAGAACCAAATTTTAGTAGATTTTCTCACTTTCTTAGTTTTACCTTTGTGCTATTAAACACAATAAAGCCAGTATTACTTGCTTATCTGCATAAATGATATCCTTGGACCCCTAGCTGTGAATAATCAGAAAACCAGTTTACATGCCTCTGTAGCATTACCCTTTTCTCTTCCAATTTTAGAGCATATATATGTATATATGTTATATATAATACATATTTTACATTTCTCTACTTCTAAAGTAGGTGCCACTAGGAAGAGATTCTTAGAAGACATTTTAAATAATGTCTAACTCCTAAACTGACTGCCTAGATTATAATTTCCCCTCGCTTCCTCACTAACCTTTCTAGTACTCACTAACTCACCTGGGTAGTTCTGGTATAGAAATTCTTCCTCTAATATCCATGGCTCCTTTCCTTCTTCCAACTTGAAGATCACCTCTGGCTTTTTAATGGGATACCCTGTAAAAGGAAAAATGATACAGAATTTGGACATGGGCTACAGCAATTCTTCTTCTTCTTCTTTTTTTTTTAAATAGCAATTCTAAAGGAGAGAGAAGACAGACTTTCTGGAGCTGCACCTTGATGAGGCTTATTTAAACATTTATGGGATGTGAGCATACAAAAATTCTTCCTTGTGCTCAAAAGAGATTAACAACCGCAGATCCTGAAGCAAAAGTCTCAACCACATAAACTATAAAAGACCAAACATTTTGGTATCTAAGAAATGAAGTGCATGTTATACAAAATTTGACATGAAAACTGCTTACCCACTGAGACAAAGTTGTGGTAGTTCTCCAGCATCACATCCCTGTATAGGGTCCTCTGAGCAGGGTCCAGGTGCTGCCACTCTTCCTGGGAGAAGTCCACAGTCACATCTCCAAATGACAGTGACCCCTGGAAGAGCACATTTCTGTTCAGTCTGAAGTCATCAGAATTGGGGTGGCACATGAAAGAAATATGGAAACAAATTCTTCCCAGGTTCACTGTTGAAAACTGATGTTACAATATGCCTATTGCATACATTACCTTGTATTAGGTTTTATAGAAGTAAAAAAGAAAAGCAAAGTAAAAGTAAAAATTATGCTTATTTTAATTTATTAATGCTCTATGCCTTGAAATGTGAATATTAACAAGAATAAAACACTGTTCTTATTCTCTAGAAAGTTAAATACTACACAAACACAACATACTCCAAAACTAAAAATAAGGTATTACTAGAACATATTAGCATACATAAAAAAGCAAAGGAAAGAAAATGTAAAATGTATATTAGAGTCAGAAAAGAAAAAAAAGTAACTTTTTGTATCACAACCTGTACTTAATTAAAGAGTTAAAGCTATAGGGCCTGAAATGTGATGGATAAATGTTCTTTATGACTATGAGGCAACACAACATAAACTGAAGGCATTAAAAACACGTGGGTTGACTTTGCTTCTGCTCCAGGAGGCATAAAGCAAGGAAGAAAATCACTTTTTCTCCTACAATGAAAATGAGTCAGACTATTTTCAAATTCACAATTTTTTTCCCTTACAGGGGCGGCATGATTACAAAGCACCCAAGTACCCCAAATCTAGGAAGACACAATACGCACAAGAAGAGAGAAAATGTCTATTTTTGCCTACCTGAGTTGGACCACAGGTAAGAAGTCAACCAGAATAGAGGGAATTTAATTAATGAAAACAGAGTGTGAGTTGACACAACAATGAGAAACCCCTTCGGACCAGACATGGAGGAGACTTGCACCTTTTTACAAGCATTTTTTTCCTTTTCTTTCTTTCCTTTTTCTTTTTCTTTTTTTCTTTCTTTCTTTTTTTTTTTTTTTTTTTAAGGTTTACTGATTTATTTTAGAGAGGAGAGGAGAGGTAGGGGGAGAATGAGTCTCAAGCACATTCTATACTGAGCAGAGCTCCCTGCAGGGCCCAATGTCCTGACCCTGCGATTCAGACCTGAGCCAAAACCAAGAGTAGGATGCTCAACTGACCATGCTACCCAGATGCTCATTTACAGGCTTTTTCTCTGTGAACCCCACTGGGCACTTACTCTATTCCTGGGGAATAGCAGGGTTATGCACTGAGTCGACAACTACAGCTGGATGGGTGGTGGGGGCCAAGAGAATCAAGAAGGTCACATCTGCATGACCCAAGGACACAGGGCCGACTTAACACTGAGGCCATATTGGAGTAAGAGAACATATTCTGCCCATAACTTCTCACCACCAAGCTAACAAGCTTGGAATAACAAAAGGACCAAAAGAATATTGCTGACAGAAAGATAAGAGATAAATAAAAGCATGTAAAGAGACCCTCCTCTCTGAGATACACAGCAAGGAGAACCCTTAAAACTCAAATGAACAGACAGAGCTCTAGTAAATGAACCTGTATCCTAAACACAAGGCAACTCTATAGAAAGTGAAAGCCTATTCTGCCCTGAGAGTAGTAATAGAAAATTAATTCTCAAATTCTGCCAACTCCTAACTAGTTAAACTTGAACCCGTGGACTAAAGGCCTCACAGGGAATTGCCATTTCTAGCAATAAAATCTAGTTATCCCAGTTTAGAGTCTGACCCAAGACATATACACTTCAACAAAAAATTACAAAGCATATGAAAAGGAAAGAAGCTAATAAAATACTACAAAGATATAAAGTAACCATCAGAAATAGATATTACATAGATGTTGAAACTATCTAACAGGGTTTTAAGTAATTATAACTTTATGTTAAAGACGCTAATGTATGTTAAAACTCAAAAGGTATAGGACATGCAAAATCAAATGGATAATTTCAGCAGAGAGAACCAAATGGAAATCTAGAAATGGGAACACAGTAAGAGATGAAAAACAACCACAATGGGACAAAACTAGAAATCAATTACAAGAAAAAAACTAGAAGAAATACAAATATGTAGAAATCTAAATCTAAACCTAAATAACATGTTCCTCAAAAATGAATGGGTCAATGAAGAAATCAAAGAGAAAATCAAGAAATATCTGGAGAGAAGTGAAAAGAAAATGAAAACACAACAGTCTTAGAGATGGAACAAAAGCAGTACTAAAGGAAATTTACAGTGCTCAAGACCTACATCAAAAACAAGAAATAACTCAAATACATGATCTAACCTTACACCAAAAGGAATTAGAAAAACAAAAAACAAAACCCAAAGTTAGCACAAAGAAATAAATAATAGTGGTTCCTGGGTGGTTCAGTCAGTTAAGCATCTGAGTCTTGATTGCAGCTCAGGTAGTGAGCCCTGTGTTGGGTTCTGCATTCAGCAAGAAGTCTACTTCATTTAATGTTTTTTTTTTTTTTTAAAGATTTTATTTATTGTGATTTTATTTATTGTGACAGAGACCACAAGTAGGCAGAGAGAGAGGGGGAAGCAGGCTCCCTGCTGAGCAGAGAGCCCAATGTGGGGCTCGATCCCAGGACCCTGGGACCATGACCTGAGCCAAAGGCAGAGGCTTTAAACCACTGAGCCACCCAGGCGCCCCAAGAAGTCTACTTCAGATTCTCTCTCTCTGTGTCCCTCTGCACCTCCCTCCCCCTTTGCAGTCTCTCTCTAAAATAAATAAATAAATAAATCTAAAAAGAAAGAGAGAGAGAAGGAAATAATAGAGATCAGAAAGAAATAAATGAAACATATGACAAAAGAAAGAACAAAGAAAAGATCAATGAGGCTAAGGGCTGGCTCTCCAAGAAGATAAACAAAATTGATAAAACTTTAGCCAGATTAATCAAGAAAAAAAGTGAGAGGACACAAACATATAAAATTAGAAATGAGAGAGGATGAGTTAAAATTGACACCATATAAGTACAAAGGACTGTTAAGAGATTACGATAAAAAACTACATTGGAAAACTAGAAAAAAATAGACAATCTAGAAAAAAATGGATAAATTCCTAGAACATACAGTCTCTTCTGAGACTGAATCACGAAGAAATAGAAAAATCTGGGGAAAAAACACAATTACTAGAAATAAAATTGAACTGGTAATAAGAAAACTCCCAACAAAAAAACGTCTAGGACCAAATGGCTTCGCAGGTGAATTCTACCAAGGATTTAAAGAGTTAATACCTATCATTTTTAAACGATTTCAGAACACAGAAGAGGAAGGAATGCTTCTTAACTTATTCTATGGAGTCAGCATTACTCTCACAGGAAACCCGAAGTCGCTACAAAAGAAAATTATATACCAATATCCCTCAGGAAGACAGATGCAAAAATCCTCAACAAAATATTAGCCAACCAAATCCAACATACATTAAAAAAACCATTCGCCAGGATCAAGTGGGATTTATCCCAGCAATGGAAGGATGGTTCAATATACACAAATCAATCAATGTCATATTCAATGGTAAAAAGCTGAAACCTGTTCCCCAAGATCAGGAACATACAAGGATATCCACTCTTAACCACTTTTATTCAACACAGTACTGGCATCCTTAGCCATGGCAATCAGACAAGAAAAAGAAATAAAAGACATCTGAGTTGATAAGGTCCAAGTAAAACTATATTTCAAATGATATCATACTATATATAGAAAAAACTAAAGACTCCACCAAAAAAAATTAGGCCTAATAAGTGAATTCAGTAAAGTTGTAGGATATAAAATCGATATACAGAAATCTGTTGTTTCTATACCCTAATAAAAAAGAGCAGAAAAAGATATTTTTAAAATACTGTTTACAACTGTATCAGAGAGTAAAATACCTAGAAATAAATTTAACTTAAGATGTAAAAGAGTAGTATTCTAAAAATTTAAGACATTAAAGAAAGAAACTGAAGGCAACACAAATAAATTGAAAGTATACTATCCTCATAGACTGGGAGAAGCAATATTGTTAAAATTAAAATGTCCATATTACACAAAGCAATCTATAGATTGAAGTCTACAAATCTGCAATCCCTATCAAAATACCAAGAGTATTTATTTCAGAACTGGAACAAAAGCATCCTAAAATTTGTATGGAACCATGAAAGACCTCAAATAGCCAAAACAATACTGTGAAAGAAGAACAAAGCTTGAGGTATCACAATCCTAAATTTCCAGAAATACTACAGAGTTACAATAATGAAAACAGTATGATACTGTTGCAGAAATACATCTATAGGTCAATGGAACAGAACTGTGAGTCCAGAAAAAAAATACATACACACATAAAGAGAGGGAGAGAGAACAACAATTAATCAATAACAATGGAGGCAAGAGTATACAATGGAGAAAAGACTCTCTTCAATAAATGGTGCTGGGAAAACTGGACAGCTACATGCATTAAGCATGAAATTGGGCCACTTTCTTACACTACAGACAAAAATAATCTCAAAATAGATTTAAGACCTAAATGTAAAATTTGAAACCATAAAACTCTGAAAAGAAAATACAGGTTGTAATCTCTTGGATATCAACCTCTGTAATACTTTTCTGAATCAGTCTCCTCGTACAAGGGAAACAAAGGCAAAAATAAACAGGAATATATCAAACTGAAAAGCTCCCGCACAATGAATGAAACCATCAACAAGATGAAAAGGAAATCTAATGAATGGGAGAAAATATCTGCAGTGACATGTCTGAGAAGGGGTTAATATCCAAAATATATAAAGCAGTCACACAAACATTAAAAAAAAAAAAAAAAACAAAAAAAAAAAACCAAATAACCCAATTAAAAAGTGGGCAGAATGGTGGAAAAGTAGGTGTTGCTCCCACCAAGATAAACAGTATGGAGGGTCCCCCCCAAAACTAATATATTAATATACTATTAACATATTATATTAAATTAATATATTAATATGAACCAGTAATTCCACTACTGGGTATTCATACAAAGAAAACAAAAATACTAATTCAAAGACATATGCATCCCTGTATTTATTTACAATAGCCCAGATATGGTAGCAGCAATAGTGTCCACTGATAGATTAATGGATAAAGATAGAGATTAATGGATAAAAATGGATAAGGTTGGATGGAATATTATTCAGCCACGAAAAAGAACTGGAGCTTGCCATTTGTGACATGGATGAACCTAGAGGGTATTATGTTAAGTGAAACCAGACAAAGACAAATCCATATAATTTCATTTATGTTTCACTTACATTTAGAATCTGAAAAATAAAACAAATGAGTGAACAACAACAAAAGAGAAACAGACTCAGGGCGCCTGGGTGGCTCAGTGGGTTAAAGCCTCTGCCTTCGGCTCAGATCATGATCCCGGGGTCCTGGGATCGAGCCCCACATCGGGCTCTCTGCTCGTTGGGGAGCCTGCCCCCCCCACCTCTCTGCCTACTTGTGATCTCTGTCTTTCAAATAAATAAATAAAATCTTAAAAAAAAAAAAAAGAGAGAAACAGACTCATAACAAGAGAGAGAAACAGACCCATAAACACAGAACTAACTGGTGGTTGCAAAGAGTACAGGGGAGGGGAAGTGGGAGAGATTAGTGAAGCAGACTAAGAAATACAAACTTCCCCACTGTAACATAAATAAGTCATGAGGATGAAAAGTACAGCCTAAGAAATATACTAAAAAATACTGTAATTTACTTACAATGATGAGCATTTCATGTTATATAATAGTTAGGTCACTCTGTTTTTCATCTAAAACTAATTTAATATGTCAACAATACTATATTAAAAGTTAAAAAAATTTCAAAACTAAAAAATAAAAACAAACACCCCCCCCACACAAAATAACTTCAACCAAGAATTATTTATTGAAAACATCTTCAAAAATGAAGAAACAGGGGCGCGTTGGTGGCTCAGTCAGTTAAGCATCTGCTTTCGGCTCAGGTCATGATCTTGGGGTCCTGGGATCGAGCTCCATGCCCAGCTCCCTGCTCAGCAGAGAGCCTGCTTCTCCCTCTCCCTCTGCCCTTCCCCTTGCTTGTACTCTCACTCTCTGTCAAATACATAAATAAAATCTTAAAAAAAAAAAAAAAAAAAAAGAATAATGCCTTCCCAGAAAAACAAAAATTTAAGCAATTCTTTATCAGAACTACTCTGCAAGAAATATTAAAGGAATATGGTGCCAATGAAACCTGAATCTACACATAAAAATGAAGAGTAATAGAAACAGAATAAAAAAGGAAAATTTAAGTTAATTCCTCCCATCCCAATTTTTAAGTGTTCTAAAGCAAAGGTTAGAAATTTTTTTCTGTAATGAACTAAATAGTAAACACTGTATTGTGAAGGTAGCCCCAGACAATACATAGAAGAAAAGCATGAGGCTGTGTTCCCAGGAAACTTAATTTGTAAAAGCAGACAGGGAGCTGAATTTCACCCATGGGCTTCAGGTTGCCAGTCCTTATTCTAAAAGATAACTGTCTAAAGCATAAATAGTAGTATCGTATTATGTGTACATAGCGCATGTTAACGTAAAATGTATGGTGCAAGAACACAAAGGACAGGAAAGAATTGGGAATATGCTGCTATGAAGTTGTTATACTATAACATCATGTGGTTTAATATTTGAAGGGAGGCTCTGATTAATTAAAAATAGCTATTATAAGTCTCTCACTAACTATTTTAAAAGTAAAAAAGAAAGGTATAAATAATAAGTCAAGGAATGCCTAGGTGGCTCAGGTGATTAAGCGTCTGCCTTCAGCTCAGGTTTAGGTCATGATCCCAGGGTCCTGGGATCAAGCCCCACATCGGGCTCTCTGCTCATCAGGGAGCTTGCTTTTCCCTCTCCCTCTGCCTGCTGCTCCCCATGCCTGTGTGTGTGCACTCTCCGTCAAATAAATAAAATCTTCAAATCAAATAAGACAATAACAATGATAAGATGGAGTAAACAGAAAAAATATTCAAAAGAAAAAAGAAAGAATAGAACAAATAGAAAAATAGCTAGCAAAATGGAATATTTTAATCACCATATCAATAACCAATTTTTAAATAGAGTGTTCTAATCAAACCAGACAGATCATCAGATGGGGTTAAAAAACAGGACCAATTATATACTGCCTATAAGAAAGTCACCTTAATTATAAAAATACATAAGTTAAAATAAAAAGGATAGGGAAATATAACACAAACAATTATCTAAAGAAAGCTGGAGTTGGGGGGCACTGGGCAGCTTAGTGGGTTAAAGCCTCTGCCTTCAGCTCAGGTCATGATCCCAGGGGCCTGGGATTGAGCCCCGCATCCGGCTCTCTGCTCAGCAGGGAGCCTGCTTCCTCCTCTCTCTCTCCTGCCTCTCTGCCTACTTGTGATCTCTGTCTGTCCAATAAATAAATAAAGTCTTTAAAAAAAAAAAAGAAGAAAGCTGGAGTTGCTGCATTAATATCAGAACAGACTATATATTAGGAGATATTATTGAAGATAAATAGGCACATTCAATTCACATTATATTAATGACAAATGGTCAATTTTCCAAGATAAAATTAAATGTACATGTACCTAACAAAGCAGCTTCAAAATTTAAGAGGTAAAAACTGATAGGACTGAAAGGGAAAAGAGACAAAAATTAATACAGTTGGATGGGACGCCCAGGTGGCTCAGTGGGTTAAGCCTCTGCCTTCAGCTCAGGTCATGATCTCAGGGTCCTGGGATCAAGCCCAGCATCAGGTTCTCTACTTAGCAGGGAGCCTGCTTCCCCCCAACTCTCTGCCTGCCTCTTTGCCTACCTGTGATCTCTGTCAAATAAATAAAATCTTTTAAAAAAAATTAATACAGTTGGACACTTCAATATTTCTCTCAGTAATCAATAGAAGAAGATAACTGAAAAGAATATAGAAGTCCTAAACAAACCATCCCTGAACTAAACCTAAGTGACATCTGTAAAACATGCCACCCCACAATTTCAGGAAAATTTTCTGTCTCATTAAGAATCATTATCATATGGGGATCCTGGGAGGCTCAGTTGTCAAGCATCTGCCTTCAGCTCAGGTCATGATCCCAGGGTCCTGGGACTGAGTCCCATGTTGGGCTCCCTACTCAGCAGGAAGCCTGCTTCTCCCTCTCCCACTCCCCTGCTTGTGTTCCCTCTCTCACTGTGTCTCTCTCTGTCAAATAAATAAATAAAATCTTTAAAAAAAAATCATTATGGGTTATTCTCACTTTCACTGCACTTCCTGTAATAATGTTTGCTATCGCTATCAGAGACAAATGAATAGCTCAGCACTGACAACTTCAACATTAAGTACTTGAAGGTCATCACCACAATAGCCCCTCAGCCCTGCTACTAACCTGCTACTCCATATTTCTCCCAAAGTTGACATTTATCTATTTCCACATTTACATTTTAAAGGTTATATCTTATTCATAAGAGCTAATGTAAAACAAAGTAGGAACTAAAAAACAAAAAACCACTCACCTGGGGTTTGTTCATTTTCTGCTTATCTTAAAGAAGCATGAAAACGTGTGAAGATACAACTGAGAAATAATAGAACAGAGATGAGTTATAAATGATCCTGCCTCCTCTCTAGCTCCTTACCTACAGATACTCTTCATACCAGCAGGTAAAATGTCCTGTTCTTTCCTAAAAAGAGAGGGAATGGACACATAGACGTAATACCAATTGACTCAAATACTTATGAGCAGCCTCCCAAAAAAAAAAAAAAAAATACAGAAAAACAACCAAAAAAACTCCCCAAAACAAAATAAAAAGCCACCCCGAATCCCCCCCAAAACCCTCAACTTTTAGTTGCCAATTTCAGATGCATAAATACTCCTGCCATGACCAATTCCAGAGTACCAACATAGTGTCACCGAGCACGGCCGGGAAGAAGTGTGCAATAGCATACCATTATACAGGATTTTTACCATACTGAGAGATAAATAGTTTCAAGACCAGAATCCAGTGAAAAGAAGGAAATTACTTAGGAAGTCATGAGTTTTGAGTATGATCACAACCATGAGGAGCTTAAGCAAACAGCTACTAAATGTAACGCAGTATCCTAGAAAGGAACCCAGAACAGAAAAAAGAACATTACAGAAAAACTGAGGAAATATGAAAACATATGCACTATACTGGTTCATTAATTGGGACAAACATACCATACTACTTTTAAATGTTAAAAATAGAGGAAATTCATGTAGCGTCTACGGAGTTGTCACTGGCTGAACTAGTTAGGGTTAGAGAAGACCCTGGGCTGGGGGGCTTCAACCACGCCCATCCCAAAGATGTCCTCAAAGGTTCCTGGTCTCAGCCATGAGGAAGAACTCAAGGCCAGACACAAAAGAGAGGGGAAGTTTATTATTTTAAAGTGAAACTACACTCTCAAGATTTGAGAACAAGAGAGAGCAAGCGTGCTCAAGAAGTGTGGGTGTTGGGAGTCTGGGTTTCTCTTTTATGACAGTTGTTAACTAGGGAGTAGAATATTCATTATGTGGGGTGGGGATTTCTTAGAAGCAAGGTTTTCCCCTCCTTCTTATTTGGTCAGGAGTCTCCTGTCATGGCACCCACCTTCACGGACCTATCTTGATTGAATCCAACTTTCTTGTAGCTTTGTTTTGGGAGTGATTCCAGATCAGGCCCCCGACTTTCCCCATAGCTGCCTGTGACTTCTTTGTGGATGGCCTCCCAGCCTCCTGTTAGAACCCGGCTAATTGCCTCTAACAGAATCTCTGCATTATATTGATCTTAAGTCTATAAATCTAGAAACTGTTCTAAAACAACTTACTTAAATTCATCAAAGAAAAATCTAAAGAATATCCACTTAATACAAAACAAGGCAGTAAAGGGACAAACAAGAGAACAAAAAAGACATGAATACACAAGGAAAGTATAGCAAAATGGTGGGCATAAATATAACCAAGTCAGTAATAACATTAAATATAAAGGGTTAAACATGGCAGTTGGGTGTCTGATGTGGTAGTGTCTCCAACTAGATCCCACGACCTGACCTCCACAGCCTACCTGCTTGTACCCACCTCTGTCACATTTGTCCTTTAGCTCTTCTTTCTGGCTTATCTCTTAACTTAGACAAATTGAAACTGAAACCACCCTTCAGGCCACTGCCCTGACGAAACCTCCAGCCAGCCCAGACCACCCAGACCAGTGGGAGCTTAACCTCCTACTCTCACCTGTGCAGATGCATCATGGAGCAAACTCTGGAAAGACCAAGAGCCACCTCTACCTCATTGTAATACTAAAATCTCTGCCCAAAAAGGAGCACCAGTCTCACTTATTAATATACACTCTATGTATAAGCATGTTTCCTTAAGACATAAGCTTGACCTTATGCTTACCTCTACATACAATGACAAGGTTTCCCTATCTAAATATTCATACTAACCCTAAACAAAAGAACCATCCACCCTTGATAGGAGAGTCCTGACTTTGGAAGTTCCCCACAATCTCCTTCCTTGCTTCAAATGAATTTTACTTTGTGTAACAACCCCACCTGATGTAGTTCTAGGACCCACCAAGGAGCAATTTGCTCACAAATTTGGCAATCCAGATGGGACTGTTCTCCCTCTGAAGTTCTGCCCTCTGGTTACCTGGTTTTCAAAGGACAGCAGTGAGAACCAGCAGTCCTTCTGGGCTAACCCATTCAATTAGCCAGGACTGGGAGAGGGAATCCTGGGGGGGGGGGGGCTCTCCTTTCTTGGGGCTTGTGCTGCTGGGCTCCCTTAAAGAGACTGTGGCCACTCCAAGCCTCTTGCTGAGAATCTCTCCACAGAACTAAATGGTGCCAATCCTATGGCACTACTCCAAGAGTATTTTCTTTGAGTTGTCTCACAAAGCCTGGCAGGTCGACAGTCAGTTAAGAACAGGGCCTCTCCGATCAACACTGCAGGGGATTAAACTCTCTTTATAGTGGAGTCCAGACATCCCTGGTGGCAAAGGATAACACATGCTGGCCATTCAGAGGCTGAATGCTTTAGCCTGGCAGATGGGAAGTGGCCCAAACGAGACTAGTCTAGAATCAGCAAGGGTGAAGGATATCTCCATCTTATCTGTTTGACCTGTTAACATTTGTTGGGGACATCTGACACTGTCCCTGGTTTGTTTTTCCTCTTAAAAAGAGAGGTGTGCTTTGAGTTACTGAATCTAAACCAGATTCTCCCTGAGCCATTTCCCAAGTAAATCCTTCAGGACTAGGTGGACGTTAAGGGGCTGGAAGAGGCGCAGCCTATGCACCAGGCCACTGCTCCTCAAGGCATAACTACCCAGACCCACTTGGATTACCTTAGCATTAACTCACTCTCCTTGTGGGCTTGGTTTTAAGTCAAACGAGTCTCATATGTATTGTGGGTAAGGTTTACCGCACCTTTGTCACCAATAACACTGAAAGTTACCTTGAGAGAGGGTGAGAGGAGACCCTAAGAAGGAATTCCAGATTATGGGAGGGACAATTCCACCCTGAAGGAAAGCCTCCGTTGGGCTGTAGCCTCCAGAAATAGAAAGTATTTGACTACCTTCCTTTAATCCTAAAACAGATGACTTTCCTCCTTAACACAGCCTGGCTACAATAACAGACTCTAGAGGACGAAGAGAAGTGGCCAGAAAATGGGACTTTAAATTTTACTACGACACTACAGTTGAGCTTATTTTGTAAAAGAGAAAGAAAAATGGGAAGAGATTCCATACGGTCAGTGCTTTATGGCATTATATCAAAACGAGGGTTGCAAAGGAAGTTTAAGATTTGTGAAATGAAGGTAGAACTGAAAACCCTAAAAATGCGTCCTGTACTCTCGGGGTCAGGTAATCTTTGTCTCCATCACCATCTCCTCCTCCAAACCACTGGATTGTAATAAGCCTCCGCCTTATTTCTCTGCTACTTGGGCCTCAGCTATCCCAGCTTCATGAGTACCAGGCTCTAATCCTTTGCAAACACTCCCAAAGCCTTCCCCGATGTCTCCAGCACCCTTTTATCCTCCTTTGTCAGACAGCACTACCAGATTAGGGACCTATTTTAAGCCAAGGATGGGAATGTTGCCATTGAGATGGGTACCTGATGGAGATGGGTGTCTCGCTAATGTGCATGTCCCATTTTTGACCTCAGACCTGTATAACTGTAAGGCACACACTAAAGGGTTATTATGGGCTGACTGATTTATACATTTTTTTTTTTTTTTGATTTATACATTTAATAGAGGATATCTTTTCTACTCACAACCCATCTGGGAAGATATGCAAGCTTTGCTCACCACTCTCTTAATGGCAGAAGAAAAGTTTACTGTGTTAGCAGAGGCCAGACAGGAAGCTGATAAAAAAAATTCAGCCAGGATCAAGTTCTCAGAGACCAAATGAGGAGGCATTGCTAAGAACTGACCCTGAGGGGGATCCCAACTCCCACAACGAGAGAGAACATTTTGGCCATTATTGAGGGCTTCTTTTAAAAGCTATGAAGGAGGGGCGCCTGGGTGGCTCAGTGGGTTAAGCCGCTGCCTTCGGCTCAGGTCATGATCTCGGGGTCCTGGGATCGAGCCCCGCATTGGGCTCTCTGCTCAGCGGGGAGCCTGCTTCCTCCTCTCTCTCTGCCTGCCTCTCTGCCTGCTTGTGATCTCTCTCTGTCAAATAAATAAATAAAATCTTTAAAAAAAAAAAATAAAAATAAAAAAATAAAAGCTATGAAGGAGGTAAGTAGATCTCCTGGTCCAAATTATGGGACATTCAACAAAGGACAGATGAGAAACCATCAGCCTTTTTGGAAAGGCTACAAAATTACCTAAGATGAAATACAATCTGGGACCCTGAGGTTCAGGGTAGTTGAATGGCCTTTAATAACCTATTTCATATCTCAAACTGTTCCGGACAGCCAAAGAAAACTCCAAAATTGGCATAAGTGTGGATACTAACCCTGCTCAGCTTCCAGAACTAGCTTTCAAGGTGTTCCATAACTGGATGTGATGGAGGATGTAAAAGAAGACCAGAAGATGAGAAGGCAAGTTGCTCTTTCGGTGGGAGCTCTCCAGCCTACACGAAGTAACCTGGGAGAGGAAAAGATGATACCCATGAGTGAGTGCCCCAAGCCCCCTCCATGGGACCAAGAGACCAACAACAAAGTTGGGGTCCAATCAATGTGCACATTGTAACCAGGAAGAGCACTGGAAACAGGACTGCCCAAACCACTCCCGGAACAGAAAAAAGGGCAAAGCGCAATCATTTCGGCTGTCCCTCACTGAAGATGAGATATGTTAGGGCCACAAAGCTCCCCAACTGGTCTTGGACCATTAGATTCTCATCTCCCACAAGAAGCCCTGAGTAACCTGGGCAGTGGAGGGAAGTTGTTTGAGTTTTGACTTGATACCGGAGTTACTTTCTCTGTACTCAACACCCAGAAGGGTAGCCTTTCTAACAAAAATTGTAATATGAAAGGAATCTCAGGAAAAGGAGACATGAAAAGGTTTCTGGATCCTTTGACTTGTGAAATAGGATCAAAGCTCTTAAAACACTCTTTCTGATATGTGCCAGAATGTCTCATATTCTTTTAGGATGAGATACTTTAGACAAATTGGGGGTCACAGTAGGTTCAGAATAAGACAAATTAGAAATTCAAGTTCCTAAGTACCAAGGAACTGAACTCAGGTCATTATCACAACATATCCTAGTATTTAAAAGAGAAAATTCCCCCCAAAATATCATAAGGCAAGTCAACCCGCAAGTCCAGGTGTGAGGGTAGGCGGGGGCATGACATTAACACATTTGTAAAAGTGAAATTGAAACAGACTGCTAGCCCCAGATGCTATACAAAAGATCAACCCAGTAATTAAGAGGCTCTTAAAATGGGGGTTGATTAGTCATGTAGATACTCATGTAACACCCCAATTTTACCTTAAAAAGCTGGGAAGTGTGGAATACAGATTTGTTCAAGGCCTCAGAGCTATTAATGAAGCTGCTTGAAACATACAATCTGTAATACCCAATCCCTTTACTCTACTGACCAACTTAACTGAGTAATAGTAAATATTACATTGTGTAAGAGCAAAAGGATACCTTTTTCTGCATCCCACTAGATCCTGAATTCCCAGTACTATCTGCTTGAGCAGGAAGATCCTCTTTCCCACCAAACACAACAGTACTGCTGGACTGTTTTACCTCAGAGTTTCAAAAACTTCCCCCATCATCTCTGGGGAAATTCTGGGATGAGATTTAAGAGAATGGAGTTTAGAAAAATAGCACTGTATTATGGTATGTAGATGGTATTTTGATAGCTACTCCCACCCACGAGGTTTCTGACCAAAATATCCTGTCTACGGCCATACCACCCTGAACACGCCCGATCTCGTCTGATCTCAGAAGCTAAGCAGGGTCGGGCCTGGTTAGTACTTGGATGGGAGAGCATTTGACTGCAAAATACTTTATCCATGTTAAATTTCCTGGCAGACAGGATATATAAAGTCTCAAGGAAAAGGCCCAATTTCTAAGGAAACTGTACAGTACTTGGGGTTTATTATTTTTTTCCAAGATTTTATCTACTTAATTTTAGAGGGAGAGAGAACGCACAAGTGAAGAGGAGGAGGGGCAGAGGGAAAGGGAGAGAATCTTAAGCAGACTTTCGATAAGCATGAGCCTAACAGGAGGCTCACTCCCACAACCCTAAGATCATGACCTGAGAGGCAATCAAAAGCCCACCTCTTAAGTGACTGAGCTACCCACGTGCCCCTGGGTTTATTATTTCAAGAGGACAGTGAAGTCTCCCTCAAGAGAAAAATGGTAATACGGGGCTAGCTAGCTCCACCAAAAACCCATACTCGATCTTCCCGTTGGATTAAAAAAAAAGAGCTTCAGGACTAATTCTGGCTGCTGTTGGATTGGCTGTTGGGAGTAGATGCCTCTTGGGGAAGTTCTATAGGTTATAAAGTCACTGCAAGGAAATTAACTGATGTCATAGGAACCTTAGCTAAAAACACAGGATATGCCCTCGAAAACTTAATGTCCCTAAACTCTTTAGCCAACATAGCGCTAGACGATGATTAGTCCTACACTACTTATTGGCAGAAGGAGGAGGAGCTCATTCTGTACCTGGATTAATACTTCAAGTGAAGTGGAAATAGATATTTTAAAAATCTT